AAAAAAAAACAATAAAAAGGACATAGGGGGAAGGCACCCTCTCCCCTGTCAGTAAACTTTTGTTTTACTGTGTTTTTTTAATTAAAAAAAACAATAAAAAGGAATAAGGGGAGGGGGAGGGGAGGGAAAGGTACGTTTAATGTATCATACCCAGCCGGGATGCTGTTTCATTTATTTCTTAAAACCTTACAAAATTAATGAAACTATTAAATATAAACATTTAACGGTAATAAATCTATTTAAGGTGCCAAACAGCCGGGACAATGTGTACTCTCACCAGCTATCAGCCTGTTATCCCTAGCGTAACTTTTCAAAAATATGTTATTGCCTAGCCTCTTTATACTAAGCTTCCAATTTTCACAAATTGGTTCAGACTATATCACCAACTCTTTTTTTATCAAGAGTTGTCGGGCTTTCGTGGTGGGGTTATTGTTGACAGAACTCACCCACTAGTCGTTGAACGTTCTAGTTCCAATTTTATGTCGAAACTAGCTTCGCTTCAGGTATTCTCCTTAGAGATTTTCTTGAAATTAACCCAATTTTTCAATAATTATTACTAATTAAAGCGACAAAAGTTTAGATTAAAAAATGCAGTCATAAAATAAGTACATTTATATATTTTTGGTATACTTAAATATATAAATATTTCCTTTATCTATAACTTGACTTCGGATCCCTCTAGCACATCGACTTATTCTATTTCTAGATATTCCTGTAACTTCAGAGGCTATTTGTATAGATTTAAATGTAGCCATTTCTTCATTATTTTCATTTAACATAGTGATAGCTGTGGCCATCCCGCTTTTTTCTCTGAATAATTTTTTAGTGTCATCAGACAAGATAGCACCTTTTTTATTTCCAGGTTTACCTATTTTAGCTAAACTCATTTTTGTTTTACTTCTTCTGAATAAATTCTTCCAAAGTTACTACCAGCTGTTAAATTTATATTATAATCAGGTTTAATTAAATCTATATAATATTGTTCTTTAGTTAAAGTAATGTTTTTTCTTTCAGATTTAGATAAATTAGATTCAAATTCAATAGATTCTAATATTCTAAAACCAAAATTAATATACCCGTATTTCAAAAGAGCATTAATTATAGCACTATTACCTTTTTCAAGATTTCTATTTAGATATAAAGGATTTAAATATTCATTTAATCTTCGATTCAAATCAACTGAACTACCTACATATGTTTTTCCGTTAATTAAATTAACTAATTGATAAATACCTGTTTTATTTTTAATATTTATTTTTAATTCTTCCTTAGCTAAGTGTAAATTTTTGTATAATGTGTTGTTCATATTTTTAAGTTAAACTTTTTTTTTAAATTATACCACGCTTGGCGTAATTCCTTTTTATTTTTAAATTATACCACGCTTGGCGTAATTCCTTTTTATTTTAAAAATCAATTATCTTTTGCATTTTAACTTTATTAGCTTTAATTTATATTTATCTGAAACAAAAAAAAACTTACCTATATTCCTTATAAATCTAGAATAAAAAGATGGTATAAAAAAAGAATTAAATAATAAATTTGTCTTAAAACTGAGTTAATTTACCATTTTAAGTTGAAGAAGTAGGGAATAATTAAATTTTTAAGCCTTGGCCGACCTTGACGGAATCGGCAGGGTACTTGAAGGCTGCGGGCCCCTCTTCCCCCCTCCCCCAATCCTCTTACCCTCTTAGAGGAGAGGGGGGGTACCGGCTAAAGGGGAGCGAGGGGCTAATCCCATGTCTTGAACATTTTTAATCTTAGGGCTCTGATTTATCGATTGATCCCCGTCTATTCCATAATATAGCGAAGGGTCACTATGCCCTACTTACGTATCTGTGCGACTTCTAGGTCTTACAGTTAGGCATGCTTTCCGCCATTACGCCGATTACTACCTTTCTCACTGGTAGATTGTTCCCCATACAATTATCTAGCTCTACCTTTTTTTAAAAAATTTTATATAAATAAAAATAAATAAAATTTATTTCATCTATAACCTTTAGTTTGTTTTAGAAGCGGGAAAATCCCGGCTCCTAAATATAAAAAAAAAATAATCTTTGGATGTACTTTGCTACTTTATCAAAGACGACCGCCCCAGTCAAACTGCCAATTAGTCAACTCTCCCTCTAATTATATAAAAATTATAAGGTAAACATTGACCCAACCTTAGTTAGGAGGTATTCCACCTTTCGTCTATCGACATCCCTAATCACTATTAACACAGGTTGTTGTAGATCAACGTGATAACTAACTACAGTAAAGCTGCATAGGGTCTGTTGAGGCTCCGTAATGTTTTACAACATCACATCCTCTAAGAACTGTACGTGCGACTTTCATCGCATACAGCTCAACCATTAAGTTTATTAGTTATTATTTATAAATTTAAATTAGAATATATTACTATGTCAGGTTCAAGAACTATTTAAAGAATAAATTTAAATAATAACCACTTAACAGTAATTCAAAGTCAGCATCCTTTCAGATTGATTAAAATAATCTATCCTTGTCATTACAACAAGGCTTTCGCTTTTTTGAATATCCTTTACCCACTAATAGTTATTTATCTTCGCAGATAAACCTCCAATTATTAATATACGGCCTAAGGCCTGGTATTATTGGGCTTACCTAGTTTTTACTATAATACCTTAATGATACCCTTAGGACTCCACTATACGTAATTAGATACTTAGATCCATTAAGAAAAATACGGGAACATCTTTCTACAATCAATAATTACGCTTCAGACGTGAATTCACATTACATTGCCCATAGGTATCTAGCTCTTATATCCGATCGCAATGTTTATAAATTTTCCCAAATTGAATAATCTAATATAAAACAGGCTTCAAGATTTAGAATTACTTCTATACTTGCTGTTTGAGCTCAAATAATGGATTACTTGGTGGGTTTACACCACATTATTATAGTAAACTTATCTAGTCGCATTTTGTATATTTTTTCCAGATATAATTTAAGTTTCCCGTCCACCTGGAGGCAACCCGCATCTGCACGGGTAATTCAATTTCACTGAGCAAGTTGTAGAGACAGTGAGACCATCGTTACACTATTGATACCAGACCACATTTAACATGGCTATTCAAATTTATCATACAATTAAATAAAATGTGTTAATTATATAATTAACACATTTTATTTTCTATTTAGATTCATACCTGATTTTATTTCTATTATTTGATTATATACTGATGTAGAAGTTAGATGTTCTTTAGTTTTTAATATGTCACATACTTTTTTAAAATCTATAAAATCCAAACTTTTCACCCCTAATATAGGGTGTTTTTTAAAAAAAGGTATAATTATATTGTTAATATCAGAAAATTTAGATATTTGCAGTTGAGCACTTTTTTCAGTCATAGTCACTTTTTTTTCTGTAAATTCATTAAAATAAGTAGAAATTCCTTTTAAAACTTCTAAGTCTCTAATATGTAAATGTATACTAAATCTTGCAAATATTGAATTATTGGAATTTCTAGCAATTATCTGAAAAGAACCTTCACCGCTAGTAAAACCTGAAACCCAAAAAGGATCAGGTATACCATTAAACTTGTATTCTAACTTATTAACTTCAGGAACATTTGGGAAAGCTTCCTTTACCTTAACAGGTAATCCTAAATTTAAATTACTTTTTAGACCTATTATTTCTAATAAACCTATTTCTGTTAAATGATTACCTTGCTTAATAATTTCAAAACACTGTTTAAATATCAAGTAATCTGATAGTTTTTGTGTTACTAAAGGGTAATTATCAAAATGATTTATGATTACATGAATATCTTTGATAGAATCTACTGCATACGTTACCGCTTTTTCTCCACATTTGCTTATATTTCCTACACCTAATTTATTTTTAATTGATTCTAATATGGCTATATCTTTGATATGTAAAGTAATAGAAAAAACTGGTCTAACTCTCCATTTAAGGCTTAATTTAGCATTTTGTTGTATTTTTATAGAAAAACAACCTTCAGCATCAGCAAAACCAGTTATAAACCAAGGGTTTATTTCAGTTTCAGGTTTTGAATTTAAAGTAGAAAAAAACTTCAGCAGTTTTAATTGGTTAGAAGGGATTTTGATTTGATAGCTTCTTTCGAAGCCCATTAGAGTACACCTTAATTTTGGATAGAATCCAAAATAACTACCATCTACTCGTTGCTCTTTTACAGAAATTTCATTTGGCTGTGGGCTTTGAAATTCTGACTTAGATCCGCGATTGCCCATTTGATTTTCATCTATCTTCTGGCTTGTTACCGTACCCAGGTAATTATTCTGGCCACTTATAGCCTTTCGACTATAGCTTGGTACCATAAGCTTTAGGGGTTCCCCGGAGTTTGATAGTTCGGCCCACATTAGTGTTTTCCCATAACACGTAGCTGGCCAACTGATTTTGCTACCTTTGGATCCTCATAGTTAAGACCGCTATTAACCAGACTTTCGATTAGTAACTTTAACTCATTACCTCTCTTATGTTAATGGCATTGGGCAAATTTCATTCAGAATACTATTATATTAATCATTGCTCTGAATTGTGTTTTTAGTAAACAGTCGGGGCCTCCGATTTTGTGCCACCATCTTAATAAATAATTATATTTAAATTTCAGATGGTTCCTCTTGTTGTCAAACGTATGCATGGCTGTCAAATTTAACATGCAATAAAATAAATTATATTTAATTAAATCTTTTTAAATTCATATTAGATTGTATTTTTAAAATATAATTATAACCTTCTTCAGTTAGATGCTGTTTATTTTTTACCATGTAAGCTACTTCTTTCCAATCTAAAAAATCTTGAGATTTTATTCCAAGAATAGGATATTTTTCAAAAAACGGGATAATTAAATCAATTACTTCAGAAAGTTTTTGTATTTGAAGTGCAGCAGATTGCTCTAAAGTATATATATTTTTTATATCTTGTTTATTATTAACAATATTATGTAAATAGTTATATATTCCTATAAGAACCTCTTTATCTCTAATATGTAAATTTATTGAAAATTTTAACATAACACTTTGTTTTTGTTTGTTCACATTTATATTAAATGAACCATCTCCACTAGTAAAACCTGATATCCAAAAAGGATTAATAATTCCTTTAAAAACAAACGGTGGTCTATTTGCAGGAACAAAATTAGGGAAAGCTTTAATTAATTTATTTGAAAGACCCTTATTAATAGAATTTTTTAAACCAATTAATTTTAACATTCCTTCTTTAGTTAAATGTTCTTTATTTTTAATAATTTCAAAACATTCTTTAAATAATAAAAAATCAGATAATTTTGCTGTTACAAGTGGATATTTATCAAAATGATTAATTATTTCTTGTAAATCTTTAAATGACTCAACAACATATTGAACTGATTTATTTTCGTAATATCTAATTTTACCTACACCAAAAGAATTTTTAATTAAATCTAATAATTTATGATCTTTCGGATGAAGTTTAATAATAAAAACAGGAAGTATTCTTCAATTATTTTTTAATCTGGGATCAAATCTAATTGAAATAGAAAAACAACCTTCTGCATCTGTGAATCCAGTTAAAAACCATGGATCTAATTTAATTTGATTTATTGTAGAATAATATAATTTATTTAATTGTTTAGTAAGGATTTTGATTTGATAGCTTCTTTCGAAGCCCATTAGAATACACCTTAAAGATTTATTATATTTTAATAAACCTCAACTACCGTCTACTCGTTGCTCTTTTACAAAAATATCCTTTGGCTGTGGGTATTGATATATTTTTGATTTAGATCCGCGATAACCCATTTCACTTTCCTTCATCTTACAACTTGTTACCATACCCAGGTAATTATTCTGGCCACTTATATATTTTCATATATAGCTTGGTATCATAAGCTTTAGGGTGTCCCCGGAGTTTGATAGTTTGACCCACTCTAGCATGTTCCTAATATGCTTTGCAGGAGAACTTGCCGAGTTCCTTAACAACTTTTAGCTCTACGCCTTAGTATTCTCTACCTACGAACCTGTGTCGGTTTAGGGTACGGTAGACTCATTTTTTTACTAACTTAATTTTCCTGGTCCATTAATTTACATATGGACTTTCAGTTAGCTACTCATCAGCCAAAACTTTGGTTTTGGTCCTTAGAGGCCGCATTCACATAAGGTGGTTTAACCTTTCCTTATAACCCTTTCGTATTCGGCGAGAAGTATTATAACTTCTTTTTACGTTACTCATGTCAGCATTCTCTCTTCAGTTACCTAAAAACAATGAAACACTGTTTTATCTTAAGTTATACTGAATGTTCTACTACCTATACTAAGAATAAAAATTTTTATTTTATTTATTCAAAATAAACACGATATCGGTTGATTATTTAGACCCGTTAAATTTTAGGCACAACATTCTAAGGGCTGCTACGTTGTTACATTACGGTCATTAAAAGATAGCTACTTCCCATTTTCTATCCTTTTGTCAGGTAATTAATATTTATAAGCTACCTAACCTTAACCCCATAAAAAATAAAGGGGGATAATACCATAGATTAGGTAAAACTATTTGTCTTTTTTCAATAGGTTAATATACTCTGTTTTACTCAAACTTCGACGTTTTCCTTTTTTATTCATATCATAAGTCAATTCAACTATTTTTAATTTACTATCTATTGTTAAAGGTTGTTCATTTTTTAAGATAAAATTAACTATTTTAAATTTTTCATAGTGTGATGACCGTTCAGAAAATAAAGGATTATTATCCATAAATGGTATTAATATATCTATTATTTGATTTAAACCTGTAATTGTATATACTAATTCTTTTTTGGACCCTACTTTAATACTACCTATTCCTTCAAATCTTTCTTGTATACCTTCTAATAAAGGTCTTGAATCTTTATCACCAGTTATACTGAATCCTGTTTTGATTACACCATTTTTATTAAAGGAGATAAAAAATGAACCATCACCATCTATAATACCAGCAATATTATTATCTGTAATAGGTGAAGTAATATTAGTTATAGTATTCTCTATAAATTCTATATCTTCGGATCCTAATAAAGAGAATAATGAATCTATTCGATCTTTAGACCTATTAGTAGTCGGCAATATGCCGCATAGATAGTGCCATTTTTAATAGTTCAATTCTTCCTTCTATTGTTCTTTTTTCCTTAGTACTTAAAACAGATACTATTTGACTAAAGAGCTTAAAAGCGTGTAATTTTGCACAAAACACTGGATAATTTAAGAAATGAGGTATTATTATATTTTGAAGCTCTTCAATTCTTTCTACTAAGTATTCAGCACTTTGAGTTTTAAGATTTGTAGAGACCTTTCCGCACCCAAAATATTGTGCTATATTGTCTAATACATACTTTGAATCTAAATCAGCAGTTAGAGTAAATTTAGGTCTAAATTGAAGTCCAAATCTATGTTTTGTAGAGATGGTTACTGAACAAAAGAAAGACCCGTCTGTCTGAGCTAATCCACTAATATAACCTGGAGACAAATTAAAATTTTGGTTCATTAAATTTATTGTTTTTGTAGCTATTAAAATATTAAAAATAAACTTTTTTTGTAGTAATAAATAATGTTTACTATTTTAACCTAGGTTAGGGGGCTAGCCTTCTAGGTGACAGGTAGAACCAACGACCTTCTAGTTACTAATTAATATTACGAAAGTATACAAAAAAAAAATAATTTACAAGAATGTAATTACTTCCTCTACAAACTTATAAAAATCAAGTACTTTCATACTTGGTAGACTATGTCATAACTCTTATCTCTTCAAATAGGAATAAGACTTCTAAGCGTATAGTCGTTGAAGAAATTAATAAATATTAATTTTCTTGCAAGTTACCCATTTTATCAAAAGATTTTGACAGATATGTTTACTTTTTCTGTTTAGACCTTTAAAGGGATACAGCAAAACATCTTTAGGGTTTTCTTGCATATAGCTTAGTTTTTAAGCTCAGAAGTATTTTGTGCTAAGCTCACTTTACAACTGCATTCAATATGTTATTTCCTTAATTTCACTTAATAATCATTTGGGACCTTGTATTCGTGTTCTCGGCTGTTTCCGTCTTGACTACTCAACTTGCTCATGAGCAGTCTGAATATCTATCATCAATTTATGTCATTTCGAGTTTCTCTTCCATTGGTAAGATTTTCGAGGTCCCCTCAACCTAAACTACATATTATTTCTAATAATTGTTCGGAATTCAGTGCTGTACCACCATAAATTTTAAATAGATGTCATACTTACATATGTTTCGTAGAAAACCAGCTAGCACTAGGTCAGATTGGCATTTCACCGCTTCCCAAAACTCTTCGGAGAATTATGCAACATTCACCCGTTCGATCCATTATAATCTGGTCTTGGGAAGATCACCTAGCTTCGGGTCTAATAGAAGTAACTTATCCACCACTATTCCTAGTAAATAATTAACTTTATTGCTAGTTACTTTAGAACTTAATCAATAAAGGATTATCCTATTTAATATTTTATTACAATTATAATAATTTATGAAATACACTACTCTATCCGAGTAGTGCTAGTTAGTCCAGTCGCTTTCACTAAGGCTTTTAACCTTGCTACTCCTATTAACTTGCTGCATTGATACCAATACTTTCATATTGGATTAGACTATACCTTCAACTCAATAAAAATGTTAGTAAATTATATCCTTGTTTCTTTACTTAACCTCTCCTCTCCTCTCCTCTAAGAGGGTAAGAGGGTATGAGGGCAAGGTTATTTAAAGGGGGTGTTATATATTATTTTTCATTATTGTTTATTTCAAATTTATAATAAAAATGATTAATTAGATAATATGTATTTTATAATATATATCTTAGGATGTATAATTCCATAATTTTCTAGAATGATTGAGTGCTGACGTGTTACCGATTTAAATCAGTCTCTTCTTTCGAATCAGTCGTTACAGGGCAAAATAAAAAGAGAGATTATTAATAATTTTTAATCTCTAAATATTAAAATTTAATATTTCATTCTTACGATTTATAAGCTTCCCACGGTATTTCCATGTGTAAATTTAACATTTAGGATTCACCGTTAGCATATTGAATTAATCAATACACCGACCATATTATTGGTCATGAGTCAGTTTTATTTAGAATTTCACAATTCTAATGGGCAAGCAATTCACCCATTATGCAAAAGGTACGCCGTCATTTATTTGTTATAAATTTCGACTGCTTATAGAGTTACTAATTCAAGTCTATTTCACTATGTCTATTAATACATACTTTTCAACTTTTCCTTCACAGTACTTTTCACTATCGCTAAATTTATAATACTTAGCCTTAGAGGATGGTTCCCCTATATTCCG